TTTTTACTTTTGCTAATAATTCAATCATATTTTGCCAATGATTATTTTGTGATTTTTGATTACAATCAATTAATCGTTCTTTAATCACTTCTGCTAATCGTTTCTCACGTATATCACGTGCTGTTTGTGGTGGAAATTTACGTTGAAATTCTGTTGCAATATAATGAAAATCTTGTGAACAATCTGAAATCGTTTTTTTTTTTCAATTATTATTATTAAAAATTATTAAATTATTAAAATGACAATTAATAATGAAATATGACAATTAATAATGAAATGACAATTAATAATGACAATGACAATTAATAAAATTAAAAATAATAAATATAAATAAAAATAATAAATATGACAATTAATAATGAAAATATTTTTCCCACATTTTTTTTTTTTAATGATAAATTAACTTTAAGATATCTTTTTTATAGTTTGAAATATTTTGGAAATTGTTTTAAAAGAAAAAGGAACAGAAATTTTGGACTATTAATAATAAATAAAAATATGAATTTCAGGAAAAAAGAAAGCATAATAAAAAGAAATTATTTTGATAATATAATTTAACTCATAAACTTTTTTAATATCAAAAATGAATTCTCTCCACTCCCTGAAAAAAAAAAGAAAAAAATTTAGAAAAAAAAAAAAAATGAAAACCGGTCATTTTTTTTCCCTCTTCTATTCAAATCAATTATGAATTTTTATAATTTTGCTATGAAATTTAAGTGTTGAAATAATTTAAGGAAAGTAAAAATTTTGATTAAATTTATGAAAAAAAAAGGGGTAAATGTAAAATTAAAAAAAATTATTTTAGAAAAGTGTAAAAGTTATTGGTCACACTGACCTAATGATCCAATTGTACAATTCAATAGTTATCGTAAATATATCATGAAATTTATTCTGGTGATATTTTTAAACAGGTAGGATTTAAACTGGTAGAAAAACTTTTTTTTCGGAAATTTTAATTTTTTTTTTCTTCTGAAAACCTTTATTCCAAAGTTTTTCAATGGAATAATTAATTTAGAAAGGTTAAAAAAGTTCGATAAATTCAAATTTTAATACTTCAAATTAATTCTATCGTAAAACAAAAGAAAAGAATAGGGAAAAAGAAAATTAATTTCAACAACAAGTTTAGGAGCTATCATCATATTATGCAAAAAAATGAACTGATTGCATTTTAATTAGTCTCTAATTAAGGTAGTAAGCAGTAATTCTGATAATAATAAATATGTGTCAATCAAAATAATTAATTATGAACAATTAATTTCTTCCTGACTTGAATAATCATGAACGAAATACTTGAACAGATTAACTTTTGCAAAGATACATGCAAAAAAAAAAATGACAATTAAAAAACATTTCGACTACCAAATTAATTTAATTAAATTAAAATTAATTGTTTACTGGGCATTTCTCAAATTTATTGATATTTAAGCTAGAATTAAACTTATATCTAATCAGATTTTAATCACTTTTAATTAGTGTCATTTAATTATAATCTTTTTGCTACTATTATATTTTTCAACCTATTTTACATATTATCGTATCGTTTCTGTTATATATTTTGAAAATGTTAAAATTTGGGAAATGCCAAAAATTGGAATGATTGTTAAATTAGAAATACTGTAATCTGGTAAATTCAAAAATCTGAAAAGATAGCTTAAGATATTAACAAATGTATTCTGTATAATTGATTAAAAGTTAAATATTTCACAAAGTGTTAGCAAATGATTCGTTTCATTTGAATTAAAAACAATTAAAGCCAATAAATTAATTAATTACAAACTAACATGGGAGCATTAATGATTTCATCAAAGTATGAAAATAAAATTATGCTATAAGCTTGTCAATTTGTTAAATTTTTTTCATACTAAATACAATTGAGTATTATATGAATTAGTCTGTTTAAGAAAACATTTTGAATATATCAGAAATGAAATGTAAAATCAACCAATTAAACAAATCTTTAATTACAATATAAATTTTAATTATAAATAAGTGTAATTTTTCGCGGCAAACACGAAAATTATGCTTATTAAATTCGAAAAATTTTAAAATAGTAAATTAGATTAGTAAAATAGAAAATTTTAAATAAGCCATTATTTTCTCATACATTAACAAAGCGAAACGATAGATTGTACTGGTCAATGGTTATCAACCTTTTGGCTACTTAATACGATTAATGGACATTTGAAAGCGAAACGAAGGAAAAAAAGATGACAGTATTACTGAATCATATACATGAATAATTTTAAGTACTCAATTAAACAAATTAATTATAATTCTCGAAATTTTTACACTTAGAAAAGAGTAGAATGTAATAAATCGTTTCAGTAGCGAAAATAAATAAACTGTAATAACGGTGAATTAATTAATTACAACGGAGTGGAACAACCACCGAAATAATTTCGAGTAATTTTTAATTATTGATATGATCAGGAAGGGATCAAAGGAATATTTAGCGATAATTACTTTTTTTTTCTTTTCTTTTACTCCCTTCTTCAAGAAAATTGGCTAAAATTATTATTATTGTAATAAATTAGATAAATAAATAAGTGAGCAAATAAACAAATAAATAAATAAACAAGCAGGCAAATAAATAAATAAACAAACAAACTAAATAAATAAACAAACAAATAAATAAACAAGCGAATAAAATAAATAAATCAAGCATATATATATACGATAAATTAACAAATAAGAATAAATAAAAGAAGTGAATGAATTAAAAAAACATTCAAAAGAAATGAATAAATAAATTAATTAATTAATCAACTAATTAATCAATTAAATAAATAAATGAACAAATAAGCAGGCTAGTTAATTAATTACATAAATCAATTAAATGACTAATCAGTGATTTTTTTAATTGAAGATTCTTTTGTTACCGTTAAAAAAAAAATTGTATTGCATATACATATTACTATCATAATTAAAATTAAACACTATAATTGAAAGTAATCATATTTGAAATTGATTACTTATTGTTTGTGCATGTTGCAAATAATGCTTTATTGGAAATCATTGATGAATTAAGATGAAAATTTTATTTTCCCTTTCAATTTCCATAAGATTCGAAATTTTTGTTTGAATGAAAAAAAAAAAATTAGAGCTTTTTCTCTCTTTCATCCTTTTTATTTTTTTTTCTCTCTCTCTCTCTCTCTCTTTCTCTCATTTTTATTTATCTGAAAAAGATGAGATGAAAGACAATTAAATGAAACTTGTTTCTTTTTTTCATCCAATACTGTTAGATGTAATTGGAATGTTGAAATGAATCAATTGATGAAAATTATGATTTGATAATTTTTGTTAATATCTAAAATTATACTTAAATATCTAAAATCTAAAATACCTAAAATTCATTTATTTCTAATCATTCTAAAGTGCCATTCTTTGCTAAAGGTATATTATTGTAATTATCATTATTATCAGTTGGAAAACTTGTTGAATGATTGGAAGAGATATGTAATGTTATGGCACTGATGATGGACTGAAAACTATTTTATTATCTATTATTATCAATAATTATCCAGAATGATTGGTAAACAAATAGTTAAATAAATAGATAAATAAGTAAATAAGTAAATGAGTTAATAAATGAGTTAATTTAATGAAGTGAGTGTGAAAAAAAAATAGAACATATGTTGCTATTTGACATTAATATGTTTAAAAAGTAGAACAATTTGATAGGATAATTTAAATGAAATGATATGTAATAAAAGTCTTGAAAATAGTAAATTCCAAAAATATTGGAAATATTTAATTTTAAAACTTTTTTGAATTTAAGTTTTAAATTTATTTAGAGCAAAAAACATTTTCACACTCATAAAAATGATAATGAATGATAATTTTTTGATGATTTAATCATTTCTCTTCTAATTGATAATTTTGAAAATGTTACAAACACTTTTTTACATAGTCATTTTAATATTTAAATTGCAACAATATTTGTTATATTTCTTTAGCAAATATTCTTTTTACTGCTAGAAATATTTGCAAAACTTTTTGTCTTCGAATTTTTAAATTTTTATTAAATTTAAAAAGAAACAATTTTTTTTTTAAAAAAAGATCAAAATACCGTACCAAATGAAGGAAGTGTTTCATTAAACCATAATGAATTCGATGAAATTTGCTCAGTTGAAATTGCTGATTGAGATTTAATATTGCCTAAGGCAACGGATGAAGTTGTAACGGGAATGGATAATGTTGTCGTAGTTAATAACAATGATGATGATGATGATGATGATGATGATGATGGTGACAGCAAACGTTGGAAATTTTGTGACAATGGATTTGGAATTGAAACTTGAGATATTGGTTTACCTTGCTGAATAGGAGGTAATTTAAATGTATTTTCAAATCGAATTTTAGGATTTAGTTGATTAGTTTTATTAGTTTGAATAATTGTACCAGCTAATTTTTTCCTTCCTATAGTTGATTGAAATTGATTTAAATGAATTTTAGAGTTTTGTAATCCGGTTTGAATAAATTTTGATGGAATAATAGTAGTAGTAATATATGTAGTAGCAGTAGCAGTAGTAGTAGTAGTAGTAGTAGTAGTAGTAGTAAAAGTAGTAACAATTGGAATAGTATGATAAGATTTTGCTCGAGGAGCTTGTTTTATTGAGATTTGAATATTTTGATGTTGATTTTGAAATTTAGATAATTTAGGTTTCACTTTTATTGGTTGTTGCGGAATTGTTGTTGTCTGTGAAAAAGGTATCGTATTAGCTGATTGCATCTGTAGTAAATATTAATATTTGTTATTGAAATATATTGGATGCATATTTGTTAAATTACTCATAAATTATTTTAATAATTAGCTAAAAATATTTTTTATTATCACAAAATTTTTTTCATTAATTTTAATATTGTAAAATGTAAAATATTTTTAATTTTACGAAGTAAAATTAATCGCTTAATGAAGTAATTAATTTCAAAAATGTCATATATCAATTATTTATTTCATATTCATGAATTATTTTAATAATGAACTAAAGATATTTCTTAACATTTCAAAATTGTTTTTCATTAATTTTAATATTGTAAAATCCGATTTTATGAAGTTGAATTAATCACTTAATGAAGTAATTAATTTCAAAAATTTCATATATCAATTAATCATTTCATTTTGGCATTTTATTAGAAAAATAAATTTTAAAAAAATTTTTTATTATCATTATAAGAAATGAAAGACTTAACAAATAGAACAACTGTTATTTTTTTCAATATAAATTATTGTAATTTAAAATTATTTATGCTAAAAAAGAATTACTCATAATTTTAATTTATTTCAAAAGTTTATTAAAATAGTGAACAAATTTCATCCATTTATTATGCAAATTAAATGAATAACCAAATTTTTTTTTTAAAAAAAAAGGAATGAAAATGTATAAAAGGAAACAAAAAATGATGAAAAATAAACCTTAATTGGTGGATGGAATTTTTGTTGAGATATATCGGGTGATTTGGTTATAATTCTAGCATAACTATCGATTGGTGATAAATTAGGATTCAAATCAAATCGTGTATTTGCAAATGTTTTTATCACTCTTGGCGGTAATTGTTGCGCATTAATTTGCATAAGAGCATTGATAATTAAGGATACAATTAATTTTCCAATATTTGATAACATTTTTAATCTAAAAGAAAATATTTACAAATAAAAATTTGAAATGAATGAAAAACATGAAATGTAATGATAAATTAGCTGATTAACTAATAGTATAAACTAATTCGTTAATTAATTAATCAATTAACTGATATATCTATGGTTATGATTTTTTTTTTTAAAGTAGAAACGAATAAAATAAGTTTTCCACTGATAATGATGACAATGATGGTGTGACGATAGCAACGACAATGAGTATTTCGGAAAAGGATGGATGAAAAGTTGCCAATCTGCAATCATCAATAAAGGATAATTAATACAACATACACGGATTTGTACACATCCACACATACACCCACACACAAACACACACCCACGCACATAACCGCACACCCACAC